TTCCTCCAAGGGGATGGTGTGGGGTTGGAGAGGGATGGGGTTGGAGAGGGATGGGTTTGGAAATGCCTGCGTCGCGGGAAACATCAGGAGCAACCAGGCAATCCCGCCCTGCCTTTCTCACCCTGGCTGAGTCTTTGTTTCCCCCAAAGGCCGGGCAATTCCTGCTTCCCATCACCGACCGCGGGGAAAACGGCCCCATCCAGCTTCCCCCGTGAGCTCCTAGCAGGGCTTTTCAGCCACTGTTGCTTATTGCCTAGCCCTGTCCGCTCCCAGGGAGGTGGCAGCCGCCTGCCAGCTGGTTTTACTCACTTGGGTTACCTGTTTATGGCATTTCTGCAATTATTCCTCCCCAAAACAGACCGTGCTGGTGCAGGACAAGCCCCCAGTGACAAGGTCACAAGGATGGGTCTCAGCTGCATCCCCTCTTCCCTTCCCTTCCCAAACTTGGAGACCTGGAGTGTCAAAAAGCAGCCCTCCTGCCACCCTAACCCCAGCCCTGCTGATCCCGCATCACAAGGCGCAAATCACAAGAGGATGATGATGATTTTATTTATTTATGGTTTCATGTGCTTCCCTTCCCATTTGGAGAGGGCTTTGATCGTGTTCCCAAGTTTTTCCCAGCAGACAGAAAGGCTAGATATTTTTTTCATTGCTAAAGGCGCGGGTATTTGCTCCATCGCCCATCTCTGGGTGATGAGGGGTAGAGCGGCACCAAAATACGAGCAGCATCACAGGGCTGAAGGTCCTGCTACTCTGCTGCAACAAGGCGTGACTTTGAAAGCACCGTACAGCTAGCAAGCACTGTTGCTCTTAAATAGCTTTAAACCTGGCTTAAATCCCTGCACGCCTGGCCTTGGCAGGGGAGAAGGACCTGGTTACTCCTGGCTCGTTGAGCCGGGAGCCGGCTCCTTCCTAAAGGACCGTGTCCGTGAGCCTCACCTGGGTGTCCTCATTAAAACACAGCAATGGGGCTTGGGTTGGTGCGATTTCCCCTCGCTTAAACGCAGCTGGTGCCTGTCCAGCGGCTGGCAGGGGTTTACCAAATCTGCCTGATGCTGCCTGGACAAGCCCGTGCACGGCCCCGTCTTGGGGAGGTTCTGCCTCCACAGCCCCCAGGGCTGCCCAGTCCCACGTGGAGCTTTGTGAGCCCAACTCAGCACCAAAGCTGTCATCTGAAAGGGGGAAAGCATCCCAGGGGGGCTCGCTGCCCTTGACCCAGCGGGTCTGAGGGATGCAGGTGAAGGCTGATGCTCTTCTGACGGTCCGCACAGCTCTTGGGCACTGGTGGGGAAGAAGCGACCACGGTGTTGCTAGTAGAAGCTGTTGGGTCTTGCCTTCTGGTGCAGCCTGGTTTTTGGGGGTGCCTTGACTTCTGGCCGCTCCCTACACCTGGAGAAGGGGTTTTGCCCTTCAAAGGGTGGCCAGGGATCAGCACTGGCTTTTACTCGCTAGCGGTGGATGTTGTGGTGGAAGGAGGTGAGCTCTAGGTGGGCAGGGTCCAAGGCTGGAAATGGGACGGGCGTCTTCCTGGGCTGTAATCCTTTGGCTTTGTGTTAGAGAAAGATGTGCTATGGGCGACTGACAGCTGAACTTAAGGTGCTGCGGGGAAAAGGGAGGTCCTGGCCGGTGGGACAGCAGGTGTTAGTCGCTCTTCTTGGCGTTGGTGGCCTGTGTGCGCTTTTTCAGCTGTGCCACGTCGACGTAGAGGTTGCGCTTGAGGATGGCGCTGGCACAGATGAAGGCTCCTTGCAGGGCTCCCACAAAGCCGGCCAGGCACAAATCCTGCCCTGGAAGAGAGCAGGAGGGAGCAGTGGCAGCAGCTGTGGTCCTCTATGAGCAGTCCATGTTCTCCATCCCCAACTGACCATCAGTGCTGGTTTGGACATCACCCTCCACCTTCCAGCTGCGCCCACACCATCCCTTGGGTTTTATCCCAAGAAACCCCTCCCTGTTTGACCCCTTCTTTCTCCCCAGCAGGGAAAGGGCCTCATCCTGCCCAGCTAAAATAACTCAGTGTCAGGCAGGGAGACAACATCCAGGAGCTAGAGAAGGCACAGCCCTTTCCTCCTCCTGCTGGGACCATGCAACTCCACTTTGATGTGCTCCATCACCCCGTGGCAGGGCAGTGGCTTGTCCCCTTATTTCACTGCAGGAATGAAGGTTTTCTCCCCCCATATCCTGCTTCCCCAGAGGTGTCCTCATCTGAGAACGTGGTATCTGGACGGTGGCCATGGTACCTGTCAGGTAGAGGTTGGGGATGGCTGTCTGCGCCCTCACGCTGGCAATGGCTTCAGCTTGCAGGCGGGCGATGGTGTGGTCGATGCCATAGATCTCCCCCTTGGGGCTGGCAAGGTAGTGCTGGTTGGTGAGGGGCGTCCCGCCGGAGATGTACTCGATCTGCGGGGGACAAGGGGACAACGGGGTCTGCAGGAGGTAGGAATGACAGCGTGGGGTGTCTCGTGCTCCAGAAAGCTGTTTTTGTGGGGATACAGGACGGGATAGGTTTTCTTGCAGACCTTTGGGTAGTGGTTCTGGCCAAGTTTGGTCCTAGAGGACCATCGTCCCCCCTCGCACCATGCATGGTCAGGAGGCAGTGGTGATGGGTTGGTCCCTCACGTCCAGCAGGCCCAGACCCAGCTCCTACGTTTGCGGGATGGGGCTGGGTAGATGGGACCCAGGAGAGGAGCTGGAGGACCCCCGAACCCCGGGTTTCCTCACCCTGTCCTCGATGAGAGGGTAGAGCTTGAAGACAGCCTGCATGATGGTGTCTACAAAGATCTTCTTCAAATCCTCGTAATCATCTCCCCGCTTATTGACCTGCTTGTCCTTCCACTCCTCAAACCACTCGTATTTGGCGAAGGTCACGATGGCCAGCGTGGATTTACCTGCACCAGGACAAGGTTGGGCCGGTTGTCCCTCTGCCCACCCTCACGCCGTGACTTCGCTGCCACAAACCCAACCCTCCTCATGCAAACGCTTGGGATGTCCCCAGCCCGGTCTTTGTGGTCCCATATCCTTCGTCCAGTTACCCTGAAAACCACGTCCCACGAGCAACCTGCTCAGCGGCGTTGACCACGGCAGCTTTAGAAGAAACTCCTCATTTGCAGTCACCAAACCAACCAAAGCCCGGCGAGAGTTTTCAAGCCGCTCACGAGTGTTTGTGGTTGGGCTTCAGCGTTTACCTGGGTGCCTCATTTCCCAGGTGGGGTCCTTGGCCGATGGGCAGGTGACAAACAGGAGAGGGATGTTCTTGGCAGCTTCTTTTCTGGGAGAAGCCAGGTAGCGATCCATTCTGCAGAGAGATGCGAGGGTTTGAGGTGGGTTTTGGTGCAAACCTTTCCCTGAATACTTGTCTCGGCCAAATCCCCATGCAGTGAGGATCTGCCAAGAGCATTTTTCTGAGTCACCACCCAGGAATTAATCTCCTTATGCTTAACAGAGCACATCGAATGTGCAGCCAAACCTACATTTCATCCAGGTCGTTTCCTGAGTACATAAAGTAGTTGGTGGGCTCCAGCCCCAGCTCTTCCCTTGAGCCATTAACACCTACGAAGACCGTGAAACCCCCTTCGCCGTGTGTCACCGTGTGAAGCTGGGACTGAATCTCTGCGATATGGAGGGAAGAAGGGAAAAATCAGTATTTTCTGGGATCCTCAGCTACGGAGAAGTGGTTTCTCCGAGAAGCCACCCCGCTCATATCTACGTTGCTCCCATGTTGGCTTGTAAACCCAATTTATCTCGAAACATCCCGTGTGTACTCAAGGGGTGGGATGGCAACTCCTGCAAACTGTAAGGAAGGCAGCAGCGCTGCGATTTCCTATAGGGGATGTTTTAGGGTACCCTTGGCTTGAGCTTTCGCTGGTTTTTTAATGTCCTTGAATTTAAATGAGCACCTACTTCGCAAACATTGAATGGCTGTAGACCAGGACCGTATCGTTGCCCAGAAAGCACTCACCCAGCCATGCCCCTTCCCCGCCCATCCGTCCCCCTTCCAAGGCAGCAAGAAAACCTCGTGGCAGCACTACACCCGACTGTAAGTGGATGTGTCACCAACTTTCACAAGTTTTGGGGCACTACGCTGTGGTTTTTAGGGAAACCGAGCAGCGAGCCAGGGCTTTGCTAACTACGGCCAATTGATTTGGGCTCGATTCAAAAACCTGCAAAGAACTGGATGGCCAGGGATGGCGTTTTGAATTCTGCGACGCATGAGCCACAGGGTTTTGCTGATGTCTAAGAAATAACTATAACGAAGCCACTTTCTGATGTGGCCCGGAGGGGGATTAATGCCCGAACCCCAATGAAACCCAATGCTACCATTTTACCAGGCAAAGCCCGTGCCTCTGCCGGCAGGAGCCGTTCGTAGGTGTTGAAGATCCCAGCATCCGAAATGATAACAGGAGCGAAGATGTTCACCAAATCTTGGCCTTTCTTGACGCTCACACCTGGAAGGGAAAGGCGAGGCGGGGAGGAACAGCTCTGGTTAAAGCAATGCCACGGCGGGGGAGAGCAACGG